AACAAAAGTAAAACATCTTAAAATAAATAAAGTTTATAAAATAACAAATATATGTAGGTAATAGAAGTATATTTGATTTATTTTACATTAGGAAAATATAAGACCATTCAAAAAATTATTATAAGTTTAATCACAGTCATCCTTTTCATTAACTATTCCTTTTCATCTTGACTGGTATGATGTCACTTTCATCACTTGAGCATTCTTGATAAGATTCTGCTTCAGTGGTTGACGAATTAGGGAAGATCTCAGATCGACAAGACTTTGTAGTGAAATCCGTAATTAACAACTGCCTAGATTTTTTTTTATTAAATTTTCGTAAACCTCATATTGATTTAAACACTTACTAAGCTCCCGTTGGAATCGGAAAGCTCGTTCAACATTCGTGTCATATTGTAAAAATTGATTACCCAATTTTACTTCTAAAGAAATAACTTTTCTTTTTATTTGATTTTTTTTTTCAAATCTTTTGGCATTATAAAACCTTAAAAAATTTACATAAATTATAAAAATGCCACAAAAAATATACATGTTGAAATGTACCAGTAAACATTCATATAGATAAAAATGATGTAAACTTTACTGCTAAAATACTGATAGTGCACTAGTTCACATGAACCAAATAGCTTTACTGTTGTGAAATACATATACATACCACGGGGATTCCCCTTTTACGAAACGGGGAATCCCCGTCGTTGTTGTTGCCACCAGTGTTACCAAATGAATTGAGATTAAAAAATGACTTCAAATATATGTATTTGAGTATATGCAGCCGAATATATATTTTTACCAAGTTTTTGAAATCCATTAATTTTTAACAGTGTAAAATCGAAATCGTGTAAAACGAATATCGTGCAAATCGAGGGATAGGTATATATGCTATGCACTAATTCAAAATTTAATCACTCTTTCTTAGAAATAAATAAATTTAAAGTGTTTGAGGGTTTCACATGGCTCTGTAATTAATATAGAGAACAATATATTTCTTTAAATTCGTAACAAAGTAAATCTTGTAACCGGTGCTTCTTGGATTTAGAACCAACGAAGAAGTCTACGGGATATACAGATATCCAAAAATCACAAATTTTGTCAGCATCCAAAGCTTAACCCTTTCGCCGTCCTCTCCTGCCCACAAAAATTTTCCCCCAGCTGCCATCTTTTCGTAGCGCGTAATGTTGTTTTCTCTGTACATCATAACTTTCCATACATGACTTTCGTAGTGGATGAGTGTCAATGAATATTAAGTAAAATTATACGAAAATAAAGCCTAATGGAAAAATAATAATATCTCTGCTTATTTCTAACAGCAGGATAATTTGATAACATCTGATCCAGGCGGTTCCCTCCTCCCATTTTGTTGTAATCTTTTACAATGATTGTTTTTTTTACAGTTCTTTTCCGTGTTCCAAGATCAATCATCGAGTTATTATGGACTGTACTCATCAAACGTATATCCTTCTTGTCTTTCTAATTCACAACCTCATTTTTTCTCTTTTTCTGCTGAGGAAACTTTGAAGCCATCTCTCACTGTTTTGTATCTTATGTAAAATGGCGCGAATATTCATAAAACCCGGGAAAATTCAATTAGATATAGAATGCCTGATTAGTGATACCCTCTAGGAGGTATTAGAACAAAACAAAAATAAAAACTCAAACAAGTAAACATTTAGAAAGCGTTAAACGTTTAAAAGTTTTAAAATGTAAAAGAACGCTTGAGGCGCGTTACGGTCGCCCTGCAGAAGTTTCACATGAACGCGCTAAACGCGTTACGGACGACGAAGAGGTTAAGATGGGCTGGTTGCCTGATCGGAATGATCGAAAACAGAATTATCAAAAAATATTCTCTTACAAGCCAAGAGTACTTGAAAGAAGTAGCGAAGAGGGAAACCGAAATTAAGGCTAAGGTTGTCTAAAGAGACACTTGTAAGTGAAAGGTCATTAGTTTGGAAGACTAAAGCCAAGTGTAGAACAGCCTGGGATGAAATTCTAAAGAAGATTAAGACCCGCCATAGGCTAGCGAGTCACTGAAGAATAATGAGAAATCGTGTTAACTGTTAATAAAAAGACATATTATTGCTTTATCACTGTTAGGTAGTTAAAAGTTTGGGTTTGATTTTAACTAGATGAAATATTTTATTTTTACTTTATGTACTAAGTACATTCGAGCATCATTTGCGAAATATATGGATTTGGGGTGATGCTTTCCAGGAAGATTTTTTATAGGAATTTTACTACGTTTTAAATATAAAGTAACTAAATTAAAAGTGAGACTTCACGGGCAGTTGCAAATTTAAGTTTGAACTATATTTTACATTTATATGTTTGCAAACCGATCATTTTAAATGCAGGTTCAATCGAAACTTTTGTATATAGTACTACCTATGATAGATTAACTCTATTCTTTTCTATCACTAAGTTAGTTGTGTATGTGTATGTGTGATTATGGCAAAGCCTCGAGGGCTATCTGCCTAAGGGGAGGGATGCCTTCGTGGAGGACTTTCTAAGGTAAACTGGCTCGTACACACGTTACACATGGGGAAAACCACGAAAACGCCCATGCAGCCAACCCGTTCGCGGGGGTTTCGAACCTCGGACCGAATTACCAGTGTTCAGCGACTTTACCGCTCGGCCGCTGGTGAGCCTCACTAAGTTAGTTGAAAAGACAACTGAAGTTAAATCACTTAGTTTTTTATATTAAATCAATTGAAAAACAAAATATAAAAGTAAACGTTTGTTATATTTTAACATATCCGAAAAATGGCTGATTAAGCGCTTTTAATTTAGTCGTTTTTTAGGTGTTGCAATTCAGTAATGCTGATTTCGAAAGTAAACAACTACCGTATGTTTCGGGGTACAGCAGGTACTTTTAATGCAGCAAATAAGATCGAAATTTACAGGTGTGGTTTATATGTCGGATATAAAAACAATAGATTCAAAGGAAAAGATGAGCATATAAATTTGAGGTTTGTACATGTACCTAAAAGCTGTTTATTTAAAACAAACGACTTACCTTATGATACTTAAAAATTTCCATTATCGGGTAACATTAAAAATTTGTCATATTCGTCTTCAGTTATATCTTCTGGCCCATCATCGAATTCCGTTTCGTGTTCTTCACCATTATGACTCTGATCTATAAGTAAGTAATCATCTTCCATTCCATCTAAATCGTAAGATATACTACACTTTTAAATTACTTCTGAATTATGTTGGGAATAAATTCATTCTGAGCTTTCATTATCCAGTCACACACTATTTCTAGACTGGCATAACACATTTGGCGTCTTTTTTCAAATGTTTTTTTCCCCTTCTGAACACTTACGTATTCCACTGTCGTTTTAAAGCTTCTTTGAATGATTTGCTGATACACACATATATTAAATGAACTAACAAAAAGGGTTGAACTAATGGCATCATTCCACTTAGAATAACTACCATATCTGAATACTCTTTTGACAATTTCTTCGTATTATACATTATATGGGATATTAAAAGATTTTCTGGATTCTTTAAGGCAACATGACGCTTTTGACAAACATTTCTTATCCGCAATTCCATGCCGTTATCGTCCATCCATTCTTTCTCATGAATATGAATGAAAACACCATTTGGGAATTTACACTTTGGCATCGCCTTTCTTTTAAAAATAACCGTGGGTTTTTAACCTTATATCATCCGCTAATCAGGATAACACTACTGTGAGACGAGAATTTTCGTGATCTGTTGTTTCTGTGTGAAATATTTTTGTTCCTTCACTGTTTTATTTTCACATCACTGTTTTATTTCCCACCATATTAAACGACGTTACTGGAGTTTCATCCATATTCCCAAAATGTGACAGTAAATATTTTTTCCTCCTTCGTAATAACATAAATCTGGAAACTTATGAGTTTGCTACCCCCATATTTCGGTATTTATATTTACATATATATACCATATTTCGGTAGCTTTTGCGAAATTTTTGTTTTCTCTCGTAAAACTAAATCATTCAATGCCATATATCGACTACACCAACTCAAAGTTGCTTTAAAGTATTCACTTCCATTTGCATTATTTTTTGCCCACTTTAAGGCAAATAAAAGTACGCTGTTTCTTGTCGCAGTTAATCCATTCTGGCCATTAGCTAGGATCCACTTCACAACACTTTTAGAATAGGCCATTCTCTTTATCCTTCATGCAAAGCAAATTTATTCTTTGGAATATTAATTACTGCGTTTTCATGTTTCTTCCACTCACGTATAGAGCTTTCACCAACACCAAACATCATTCTTGCAGCACGATTTCCATTTTCTTTCGCAAACTTAATGACTTTGCATTTGAAACCAGCAGTGTGTTTGCTTCATTTGGCAGGAGCCATATTTGCTACTAAAAGGAATATTAGGTAAACTGCATTTATCTGAAACAAATGCGGTTTACTAAAGCCTTCGATGTTCTCTTCAAAATCACGGCTTCAAATGACTGCAGAAAAAAGAAAACGTCTGACTCCTAATTTCGCGAATTCTTTCTCGTCGGAAGTACATTTTTTCCCCAAGTTATGCACCCCTTTTCTCCAAACCCTGGAATAATATTCTTGTGCAAACCTAAACTGAATACAACCCACTCCTTTTGCAGAATTATTTACATCCTCAAGCATTTCCACCCTACATATATTATTCCCCTTACCGCTTTCCAATTCAGTATATCATTGTTCGAAAGTGTGGAAAAAATTTTCGAATGAATGACTTGAAAAGATAAGAGCATTGCACATGTATCTTTCAGGTTTCTTTGTAAAGAAAAGGGTGCGCGTTATGCGGCGAATATACCTAAATTTTTTTTTTAAATGTAGTTTGAAATTATAAGTGCGTGTTATACGCCGGAATGCACGGCAGTTTAGTTCCATAATAGGCTTTCTGAATTGTGACAAGGTAACTCACATAATTGGAATTCTAGTCTTTGTGATATTTTCATTTGTATTTAAAATATTATATAGTAAATTTCGATATTTTTTTATGACAACCTAGATTCTCTGTCGTAAATGGCACATCAGCATCCGAAATCTGCACCTTGTGTGATTCTGGTCGCGGAGATAAATATCCCTGGACAAACTGTATGTCGAAACTGGAACAATTCGATTTCACCTACGGGAAGCTTTCTACTCTGAAAGAAGCTTTTTTCCCCAAACCAATGCTAGCACTTCGTGTATTGAATCTCACGTATAATCAAATTCGCCTCATAGAAAGAAGAGCGCTGTCTAAACTTCCCAAACTGGAGTTCCTTGACTTGAGCCATAATTTCATACAGCACATCAGCCAGATGTTTGAAACCGACGTAGGCACTTTGAAGTTTATAGATTTGAGGTATGTCAAATTTTTACATTATTTTCTTAATAAAAGATTCATTAAATAAACCATTTATTTCCATTAAATAAACGGTTTAACTGGGTAACACAAGTTTGCGAATTTATCTTTGTGGAAACTATAGAATATAGAAATTTACACTGAATTTATTGCATTTTGGGCTTACGTGTTTGATCTTCACTCACAGTTTTATTGCAAATTGCATTAATTGATTCGAATGATCTTTAGATTAGAGAAAATTATCTTTAGATATTTATGCCAAGAAAATAGGTGACTTATCCTCGATCTTTGACTGCCAACTTCTCTTTTATTTGTTTGATTAATTTCGTTGTAATCTTGTTTGTTTTCACTTCAATTCCCCCCCCCCGGCAGTCGTTTATTGTACTGGTTCGGATTTGTACCTTGTGAGTCTTGGCACCGGGGAAGAACAACAGGGAGTCTGGCGGTTCCTGAGGGTTGTGGGGAAAGGGTTTCATCCCGACTCTTAACGGCTCTGGTGGCGTAAGTCACCGTAACTAGGGTATCAGTACCGGAATGATGCCTAGGCCATTGAGCGTCCAGATACGCAGTTCTCCGTATGTAAAGCCTGGAGGGAGGGGCAACCTGTGTAGTACTGGTGGGTAGCATCGCTAACGACCAGACAGATTTCGAGGCAAACAGCCTCGCTCTGGTCGCAGCCATGGTAACCCTGGTTGAGCAATTTTCGGTGGAAAAGGAGAGTTAATTTTTAATCCATTGATCCAGAAGGCGTGCGACGCAGGTACTCGACAGAAAGGTCTCAAGAACCATCTCTAAGGAAGCTTTTTGGCTGGATTGCACACCCCATGCTTGATTTGGAGCTGTTCAGTTGAGATCCAGTCCGTGGTATTGCATTTAGTTATACAGACACGTATACAATTAGTTCACTTTTTATAACGGGGTCACTTATTGTACTGGGTGAGATCTGTACTCTGATAATTTTGACTCTGGAGGTGTAAAATACATGAGCTCATTTCGTGCAATCTAAGAGGATATCTACATCAGCCATCCGAGTAGATAGCGTGACCGTCAGTATTTCACCAATCTGCAAGCTTCATACCCTTCGAGGTGTGTTTGAAATATGATACTTTTCATCCATCCTCTGGGACTGGGGCTTTCGGGTGGTGCAGTGTAGCTGAGATTTATTATATCCTTCTGGGTGCTTTTTCAGTCCGTGACTCTTGTCTGAAATAGAGAGTTTAAAGGGTGAGCCGTGCAGTGGACCTATCAAAGAATTAGAAACTCGTTTCTTTATTATTATTATTAGCTTTTTATAACTCTCCGATATCTTTATTGTACTGACTGAGATCTGTACTCTCATATTCTCGACTAAGGGGGCATATTATATACAAAGAGTTCTTACCTTCATCCTTTTGGTAGGTTGCGCGGTTAACTATTCTCATTAGGCCTCTGTTTGTACAACTTCAACACTACATAGTGTGCCGAGCGTAAAGTGTACTATTAGTCGTACTCCTAAGAAGTGATAAGGCGGCCAGATTCACTCCTTGGGGACAAAATTCTTTTGTAGTATGCCAAATCTCATGCGACCTTATAAAGAGAACATCCATAGTATCTTTCATTAGACGGAGTTGGATGATAGTAATTAGTTAGTTAGTTACTTCACTTCTTAGAAATGTGTCTTCTATATACAGAATTATAGATGCGGATATTCCGCTATTCTTTTTAAAAATTAGCAAGGATTTACTTTGCTCTATTCAACTGAAAGTTCAAAAAGTTCCCCCGATTTTCGGTTCTAAACTCTCCAGAATTTTACTTCAGCTTTTGTATATTCTTTAGATTAAGTCATGTAAGTTTCTTCTAGTAATTCTCCGGGAAGGAAAGCTGTTTTGACACCAATATTTCTGCGAGACATGCTTTTCTAAGAAGTCGCATGCAAGAAAAACCGTATATTTGTACATTTTATAACAAGAACAAAGATTTCATCAAAGTGAGATCGAGACTTCTGTCTAAACTCTTTTGCAGTGAATGTGGCTTTATATCTTTCGATTTTTTTCTTCTGTGCTGAGCTTCAATTTGAAAGTCCATTTGCCGTCTATTGGTTTTAGCGCCTATCTTGTGTTCAACTAAGGGGGCTGTATACCTTAGAAACCGAGATTTTGGTAAAAAAAACTCCTTTTTTTTTCTTACGCTCGATGAAAGTCTTATTTCTTATATTTCCCAAACTGTTTGAATTTTGTTCCTACGTTCATTTAAACCGGAATTATGATACTTTATTTGACACCTAGTCCTCCAAAAGCATACCGGAAGTGCACACGACGGAAATATTTAAAAGGCCGAAGTGGGTGTGTCAGAGTTGTTTACTTTTATTTTCGGAGCTTAAAACTTTATTTAATTGCATTTTAAACACCAAAAAGTATTTTTATGATGGCAACGAAATAAACTCTAGCATAATTTCAAGCTGTGTGTTATGAATTCATTAACGCATTTTCGCTCGTGTTTTGATTCTCTGTTTACATTTCTGATAAGCGTATTTTTTATTCATTACTGATTAATATTCATTAATTTCTACAGGTATAGATAGATATTGGTATAGATTAGGTATAGATATGGTAAATTAGGTATGAATATTGGTTACTACACTGCAAACGAGTTATGAAGTTTTGACCGTATCGACTATGCAAAACGGCATTTCCTTGGTTTGACTTTAAAAAGCAGAGAAAAATTTTAAAAGCTGAAAAAAAGCACAAAAAATATAAATTTAAAAAAAAAAAAAAAAAAAAAAAAACAAGAGAACATTAGTTATAAATCAGAGGAATTTTAAGTTTACAAACTGATTAAAAGTAGGAAATTCGAGTGTTTGAATTCTTAAAATGCGTTTATCTTCGTTTTTTTATTTTTCGTGTTTTAATGCTAACAAGAAACACATTATCTTTAAAAATTATAATTGAAATCGTATGCAATTTGGTATACATATTAAGAACACTTCATGTAAGGAGCTAGACTGTTTACTAATTGATAAATGCATTTTTTTATAAATTATGTGTTAAAGATGAATTTTAATGAGAAAATATGCTTTTTCTTTGTTATATTACACATTCTAGCTCAAAAATATTTTAAATAACTTCATAGCTTTAAAATAATAGTCTATCTCCTTGAGAATATCTTTATAATAGGTTTGCATTTTACAAAATATGAAAATATATACTTTTTTTTAACACAGTGTTTCTAATTTATTGTAAATATTGCTGTTTTTTTGCTTGTTTTCTTACTTTACTCCAAAAATACAAAATTAATGGTCATTAAATAACTCATCTTGTTCATTTTTTCATCATTAATTAAAGCCAAAGTTAAATGCACAAACTTAAAAATAAAATTAAAAAAAAGTGTTCGAAGGTATACAGCCCCCAGTTCAATTATCATCAACTAAAAGGGTCACATATGTAATCTACGGGTGAACTTTCACCATGAGAATTTCTAAACAAGTAGACACAAGAAATAAAATAAATTTATTCTACCTAACCATTTGGGAGGGTTGAACTAAAGCATATACAGCACAAATTTACCAGTGACCTAGACCTGACCTAACCGCAACATTTCCTTGAACTTCAAACAATTGAATCTAATCCTACCACATGCTACAGAAATCGCACTGACCGCGACAGAAATTTAAAAGTGCAACTTACCAGTCCAAAGCTATCCGTGAACTACTTTGTTTAATTTAAGATCAACATCGAAATTGTCAGCAGAGAGCGAAACTTTACGCGGCAAAAGCAGCTTCCATGGACAAGCCAAAACTCCGTTCCATTTGCCACTGCGTCAAACAAAGCTTGCCACTGCGTCTAGCTTGCAAAGCTGCAAGCTGTCTACCGGCTATTTTCATTTGGTTGCTTTATGTAGGGAATGCAAGGACAGAAATGCCTAAGTGAGTCATGGAGACAAGATATGGTCAAGATATGGAGACATGTTATGGGGTCCCTAATTCCTGCTTATTCACTGAAAACTGATTATCGACTTTGTATCTAGGTTGGCGGGAGGTAATAAAAAAAGTAGAAAAGCCGTATAGTGCCATTTACTGAGCATAACTGGAGTGAGGAAAGACAAAGAGGGAAAATTAGAAAAGACTTTTACAGTTATAATAATTAAATAATTAAATAAAATGATTTTAGTGAATGTCTTATTGAAACTTCATATTGCTGTAAGTTACTACTCATTTATTTTTCTTTCTAAATTTTGCTTCTTCATGAATATTGTGCTATATGTAAAGTAATAATGAATTATTATCACTTAAAGTAATAATTAATAATAATTATTCACATATTTATCCTTTAAGTATTATTATTATTATGTGTAATCTTTAAAGTATAATGAAGTATTGTGTTTTAATATCGTTTCACAGCTGGAACTTCATCAAAGAGATTGGTCCTACCTTTTCTCAACGTGTACCCAAATTAGTTCATTTAAACTTAGACAACAATTATTTCGAATATCTTGTAACCAAAGATTGGGAAAAGGCACCATCAACCATTCGACGCATTTATATCAGAGGTTAGTATCAGAATATCGAAAAAGAATAAATCTTTCTTTTTCTTCATACATAAAATCGAAACAAGTGAAAGACTGTTAAATACACTGCGAAAAAAAAAAGGGACACCGGATTTTTTCTGAAATAACATATACATGTTTTCCCATATTCTGATTCTAAGACTCAAATTACGCCAAACTACCAAGTTTTGTAAAAATCGCACGAGTATTTTTTAAAAAATTAGCTCACAAAATTTTAGCTCCTCAATCTTGAGTTTGGTATATATTTATTAATCTTCCTTTTTTTTTTTTTTTTATTAAACTTTGATTTTTCCTTTCCCATTTCGATATCAGGCTCATTCCAAATAAAATCACCCATTTTTTTATTTATTTTAAATTTGTATTTTTAATAATTTTTATAAATTAAAAAAAATTGAATTATAATCTATAAAATTTTTACCATTATCTTAAAGTAGACGTATTTCTAAGCATAGCTGAAACAAATTATAGTTTTTTTTTTTTCAAAATTTCCGAAGATACACGTGAATTTATATATTGGCGCGTTTTCAAATTTGACATATTTGTTGAAAGCGATAAAACATCAATGTGCTTCAGTCACTTTGCTAAATTTATTTGGAAAGTAGAAACGATGTGACTTTTCCCCCGCTCATACACAATGGAAGGGAAAGGAAAATAAGTTGCCGTATATTAAGAAGTTCGTCAAGTGAATTATTCTTGGCGCAAACTGAAAAAATTGTGCCAAGTTAAATTTTTAAATTTCTCCGTAAATTTCGCACCAAATTTCACAAAATTTGATATCTAGGCATAATTTGTGTCGTAGAATAAAAATATGAAAAAAAAAAAAAATGCTATTTCAGAAAAAGTCCGTTTTTGGGTCAAAATACCTACGTCAGAACATTGCTATATACAAATGTAATATATATCCTAATTCGCACTTTCGAAACATGAAAAACACAATTTGATTTTCGTCAATCGGCCTAATAGAACGGGAGATATAGAACTGTCCCCCCCTTTTTTTGCGCAGTGTACAATCTGTCTTCTTCAAAACTAGATAGTTTAGAGTTACGTCTTAAAATATTGAAATTAAATTGACATTTTGACACTCTATGTAATTTTTACAGAGTTTTACCTTCGGTTCGGGTCTTTATCTTAATAATGATAGATATTTAAGGTTTCGCCATGAATGAGATTTGAAAGACAATATCATTTTAAACACACCTAACATATCATTGTAAGATGGGATAACAGGGTTCATTATTTAGACCAGTGCTCCGCAACCGGTGTGCCGCGGCACACTGATGTGCTATGAGTAGGATATAGGTGTGCCGTAATCAAATACATGTATTTGACATTTGGAAATTTTTTATCATGTTTAATACACAATGACAATTTTTTCCCTTAATAATGAATTTTAAATGTTTTTATATTTCAGTTGTGCGGTTGTGTGTGTGCCTGTAAGTTTCAGCATTTGAATTTTTTCGGCACCCTTGATAATCGGAACTCTTTGGTGTGCCACGAAATTCCAGAAAGATTTTTTGTGCGTCGCAGGTGAGAAAAGGTTGCGGAGCACTGATTTAGACTTCTAAGTACAACTTTATTTACTGGAAGCACCGGACGATTTTCCTCGATTATTGATTAAATCGTACCAACCACTCATTTTTGGTTAGTGTTAAGCGAATAATTCAATATAATTTCTAAATTGTTGAGACATGAAAAATGAGCAATGCGCTCGCCGGGACTCGAGCCACGGATCTCTCGAATACGCGTCGAGCGTGCTGACCGCTACATCACGAAGGCATGCAAAGAAGGCGGGAGAAATACATTATATCCTCCTCCTTTTAAAGGGCGACTGTTGATTAGGGGACTCAATCGCCAGATCCTGGTGGTGGAGAATCATCATCCACCATCTTTCAGTTCGGGCGCCATTGTAGAGACATTAGGTTATTTCGAAGCAGGAGACATGAGAAATGAGCCACCGGGCTTCACCGGGACTTCACCGGGACTCGAACTCGTCTTCACCGGGACTCGAACCACGGACTTTTCGAATACTCGCCAAGCGTGCCAACTACTACACCACGAAGACATGCTACGAAGGCGGGAGAAATACCTTATAGCTTAAGCAAGTGAAGTAGTCTTACCTCTTATATACTTTTATCCGATATAATTTTATTGTTGATGTTTTGGTTTTCGAAAAACCTAAAAAATATCATAAACAAAAATCATATATAACAACTTAAAAATCTTACCGGATTTCGATGGGCCTAAACTAAAAAAATTGATGTTAGGATCCGCATTCTAGCGGTAAAAGAATACACTTTTCTGATACTTTTCTTTTAGTTTCATCACTACGTTTCTCTACATCCAAAACAGAAGGACACTTAGACAGGTGTGATTCTCATTCTAGGAGAAAAGGGAAACAATAAGCATATTTTAAAACACTATATGATGTTAATGATCATTGAACCAAAGAACATGAATAAGTTGTCTTATTAATTATACATATATATATATATATATATATATATGTACGTATATCACTTTAAAATCATATCTTAATTTCCATAAATGAGAAAATTAAACAGGTAACTGCTAAAAGTTAAAAAATATTCCAAAACAAGAATCAATTATAATTTTCGATTTCTAATTAGTAATCATATTTTATTGCAGAAATATTAAAAAAATTGGGTTTGATCATAATTGAATTTTTAATGTAAAGTTAAATAAAGAATACATATGCATTAATAAATATAATTACCACCTAACCATTATTGGTTTATTAAAAATAATAAAGATTTATCAAAATAGTTAAAAATTATTGCTCTAATTATATTAACAATTATGATTTTGAAAATCTATTTATTCACCCTTCATCCCTTAAAAAATTAATAATAGTCTTATCAAACTATAAGAATTATTTCCAGCACTCAATAATACCTTTAATTTTAAAAAATGGATTGCTTCTATAAAATGCTTATTTTCCTATTTTTTATCTAACTTAAAGATAAAATTTACCTACGAATTTACGGCATTCCAATTGGGAATAATTATTAAACTTATTATTGCAAATTATTTACAATCTATTTCCTTTTTACAAGAATTTAGATTTATGAAAAATTGTTATCAAGTAGGCAAATTTAATTTTACTTTTAGATGCATTGATAACATTTTTATCACTTTCAATAATTCTGGGTTAATTAAAACAGCTAATATTTATCCTAAATGTTTAAAACTTAATAAAACCAGTTCCAATAATAACGAAATTCATTATATTCACCTCAAAATTCTCTACAGTAAAATAATTAAACTTGTAATAAAGTCTGATGTGTACACAACATGACTTCCTTGTATTGGATATTAAATTGGAATATTAAATTATACGCATTTTTCTTGCATTTCATTTAATTATGCCCAAGCGGCAGAGCGGAAAATCGCTGAAAATTGGTAGTTCGGTCTCAGGTTCGAATCCCCGAAGGCTGGCTGCATGGGCGTTTTTCGTGGTTTCCCCATGTGTAACGTGTATACGAGCAGGTTCCCTAGAAAGTCCCCACGAAGGCATCCCTCCTCTTACGCAGATAGCCCTCGGGCTTTGGCATAATACACACACACACACATTTAAACTATTGGATTGAATTAACTACTTCGCCGACAGCGCAAAACCACAATAGAATAAATGCATTCTTTAAAATTCACTCTAGTATTTGGTGACATAACGACACTCTGGCGCTAGATTCATTAACAGTATTATAATTATAAAAGTATATAATAAACAAGTTAACTGTGATAATTAACCCAATAATTATAACAGTAACTATATATTTCGTCCATTATAACTCATAATGCACAAATTTATATCATTTAAAGAATAGAAAAAAAAAAAAAAAAAAAAATCTGAAATGTTTCAGATTTTAAATTACATCCAAAGGGGCGTTTTTTAACATTTTGTGTGTTACCTTTCTTTATTAAATTCATGTTCCTCGCACTTAAACCATAAGATCCAGTGCAACAGCAATATCGCAAAATAAGTTTTAAAAACGAGCATATCTTTAGAATTTCCGATACAGAGACTCACGCGCTGGAGATAAAAACGTTTTTTCTGCACACGTTGCCATTGCTCGCTTTGAAATCCTTGAGTTTGTTAATCAAAAAATTCGTCAAAGTTTTAAAAAATAGGAAATCGATCATAAAACAAATTTCAAATTTCAATTTGGTCTTCCACATGCCATATTCGTTGGAGGATACGTTATTCAAAATTCGATGGACTCTATGTACCGTTGTTTTATCACAATACGAGAAATATACATACATTTATGCAGATTTTTCATTATTTTATTTCTTCAAAATATAATGCAGGACTCTAACATTTGGGCAACAGTTTGAAAAAGTGAACCGACATTTATGAGTCGACGCAAAATGCCAAAACGAAACTAATAGTTTTGATTCAAATCCTTTGACAATAATCCCAATCGTTGCCACATGTTCTATTCAAATACATAATAAAGCTAAATGATGTATAAAAAATTAAGCAACAAACAAAAGAGAAAGAACAGTTTTTCACAGAAGATGAGTATTTCTCTTTATAATTCAGTTCTCACTTCGCGAGAAGGCAAAACTACATAAAAAACTAAAAATCGATATTAAATGACGAAGAAATATCAAACACTTATTTCCTCGAAAAAATTGCAGAAAGATTAAATGAGTTAATTGGCTATAATAATGAATGCGTATCTTTGTTGTGCGAAGCTACGTTTCTCTAGATAATTAAACAACTTTAAAAGTGCGGATAATTCTAAAAATATTGCACACGATTACTAAGGCATAAAAGCCTTAACCGGAAAAAAAAAACATAATTCAATCATTTTTAAAACAAAAAATTTACAATTTACAAACATATAAAAGTAAAGAAACCGAGATCACTGACCGGGTAACGAGTGGATATATTTATACGTTTCGTGCAGCCGATTGCAACAAAATACGAGGGTACATCTACGTTATAGCAGTCCTATAACAAAATTTAAACGTTCTGAGGCTCTCGTTTTTGAGTTATGCGAGATAGTACGTAGTACAGACGCCAGAAAATCTCTCAGAATTATTTAAGCAGTTATAATTTTTTGAAGGTAAAGAGTATTTATCTGTCCTTACGACAGATATCAGCAAAAAACATCGTTAAATTGCATTCCGGAGCGGTCAAAATGGAATTTCGTTGAATATGAGCCTGAAACTTAGTGTTACATACTTCCTTTTATTTCGTAAAGGAAGTAAAAAAAGAAAACTTAAACTTGTACTATTAAACTAATTAGTTAGAACTACGGTACTACCAAAAAAGTAACTGCACCATTATAAAAAAAAAATTTCAAAATGAATATTTCCACTCAGTGAAGATTTATCAGAAATTTAAAATCTAAAAATTACAGTTATTAATAATCAAATTGCACTTAATTTTGTTAACTTATTCTCCAAAAATTGCACATTATATTGTTTTAATTTTGATTTAGGGTTATTTACTATAGGAGCTACTTAAACCAAATTTTGAGGTATTTACCATATATAAAAATGTAAATACACTTGAAAATTTGTAAATAGTACCTCTATCTCTATTACTAACAAATGGTCAATTCTGTTGTAGGCCTATTATACGTCAAAAGACGAGGGTTTTAGTAATTACTTTTTACCTGCACAACTTTTCTATCCCTATCACCATAATTAATCTTTTACATGAAAAAAATAATTAATTTTTTTAAACTTTATCACTGAAAAGTATTCTATAATTTAATAATTAAAAAAAAGAAAATGAACTTTTTAAATTCTTCCGTTAGTTTTTTAATAGTTAATTTAGTACTGATGATTGTAACTGATGATTAATAAATGAACTATTTAAATATACTTTGTTACATTTAAAGCACTTGAATTTTTAATCAAATAATTATGACTGAAGTATTGTTGTGTATTTAACAAAATAAAGATAATTTTAGAAATTATAATTTTATTTTAGTTACGAAAATAGAATTGATACAATCTTTAGTTACAAATTTTTCGTAATCATAGTGGTAAAACTCAGAATAAAATTTTAACAATTTTTTCTTTGCTGAGTAACGGTTACATCATACAAATTGGGTTGTACTCCGTATCAAAGAAAATAAATGTCTTATTGTTAAACAATACAATAAGACACTTTCTAGTTTCAAGAATATATATTTACATCAATTTATATAAGATTTTATAATTTTAGAATTAATTTTTTCCAGTTTGAATTGGTATATTTAATTTTGATTTAAGTATTCTGTTTACAATCTAATTTGATTTAATATTATCTATGATTATATATATATATGTAATAATTTAGAAAAGAAACTTTCCATATACCTTCTCCAAGGAACAAATTTAAAAGCATAAATTAAAACTTTTTAAAGAATTTAAATTAGTATGTTAAATAATTTCAACTATTTGTTTAAAAATCTGCTAAAAAAAACCTTTAATCGCAAATATATATATATATATAACTGAAAATATGCAATAGATGTATTGTAATAGAAATGTAATGTAAATTAATGACTAGGGGCAAAATGTATATTATGTTCATTGAACTCGTCAAATGTAAGATTCTCTGCTACATAATATAAATCAATAGAACGCTTTCACTATCTTATAATTATGGCATTCAGTTGTCTTTTAATTTCGATCAAGAACTTTGTGAGATCACTGAACAAGAAGAAAATCAATGTATAGTCTTGTTTAAAGTTTAAATATTAGCCAAAAATTGTGATTAAACTGAAAATTTAGAGGTTATATTACTTCGCCTAATTCTTTTTTATTATTTGATATAATTTTAATAAAATAATAATTTGAAATATAAACACATTTTTTATAACAACCCATTAATAAGTTATTATAAAATTCTTATAATCACCTATTTAAAACAGTGTAAGAACTAGAAAAATGCTACAGAGAAGCACGATGCGGGGAAGTGTAATAGGAAAAGGTAGCCGATAGAAACGCTGGGTATTTAGAGAAGAGAAGCTGACAAGTTGGCAAATATTTTTGATTTGTAAAAATGAGCGTTGTCTGTAAAGCACAATAAAAAGGTTCTACCATTTGTGGAAATGAGGACTGTTTAATAAGTAAAGACCTTTTTGTAATTAAAAAGAGGGTTTTAGATACTCGCATTTTGAGTACTGTAATATTTTAGACATATCTTCAGCAATTTTTCCACATAGTTTCCGCTGTTGCTAAAATATTAGTCGCAACGTGAAATACGATTTTGTAGGTCTCTGTCATAGAAGTATGTCTTTTGAAGGATAATTCACACGATAGTCTAGTCGTCATTATTGTTATAGTCCTAAGGCGTCAAAAACTTGTTTACATTTAAACCTGTGGAACGGCGTTTAAGCTGTAGCCAACCAGAAGAGGGGTAAAGCTGCATATGTGCTGAATGTGCACCTCACTCAGCGAATTAGTCGACTGAATAATAAGTTCGCGTTTCATTCGCTGTGATTTATCTATTCTTATACCAGGTTACCCTAAATTGGAACAATTAGAACATTTACACAAGATCCTTATGCCAGTTTCTGTGACGTTTTGGTTGCCTAGCAACAAAGTTCCTGTTATGCTTTTTGTCTAACCTCCGGGGTGCAGTACTCGATTGATTAATATCATGACAGTGTACTCCGGGGGGGGGAAAGCGGTTTGAGCTTGGCGGTTCCAAAACCCCGAAGGAAGACCGTTTGTACGGTAGGACCGAGGGGGGAAAGGCTATAGACCCCTGCGCAGGTGGTATCGGTAGTAGGCGTGGCTTCGGCCTCCGGCACGTATTCCGTGTAAAACCACGGTATTGTTAGCGGTAGGCGCCACGGACAGTCCGTGGTCACCACTAGTATTCCATGTAAAACCTTCTGTGTGGTGGACTGCTGGCATAGTAATGGCGGGGACATTAATAAATGACCAATTAAATTGTCAAGTGAAAATTAAATTCCACACCCTTCCAAGGGACCGTGAACCGGGAGTGGTGAACTCCTCGGGCCCGGTCAGACTGGTTGGGTACGTCACAAGGTAAGTTTCTGTTGCTTGTAAGAGTGGGACGGGCGGCAGCAAATGGAGAACTTCTAGACGTTTGAAGTGGAGATTCGTTAAACGAAGCTAATTTTTGCTTGCCTTCAGCCTCCTGCCTAATATGGAGGATCTAAGTAGTGGAGCTAGTGTGTAGTGGCCATTATCTATGCGGCAGAGCACATAACCAATATTAATAATTCTTATGCCTTTTGTGCATCGCAGAGCCCTCGTGTGAACGCTCCGTAAGAAGATAATAATTTTCCTGAACTATTGTTTTTACTTTTTCGTCGATAAGGAACCTTTCCGGTTGCAGGGAGATGTGATAATAAGCCGGCACCAGACTATGCGGTTGGTTATCCAATTATGTAGGTTGGCTAGAGCTTAAATAACAACATGGAACCTCGCATTGTCATGAAGAGACAGTAGAACACCGAAGACAGAATGCCACAACTTTTATTTGCCAGCATAAAGTTTTAAAAAACACAACGTCAAACTTTACTTGACGTTGTAAGTCTCGTGTCTCGTGATTTGTAAAAAACTTGTAGGAGCTCATTGATAGTACAGGAATGGTCACAATGTCTACCGCAAGATGGTCGATCGACACGAAGCTTTTATCTAACTGATATGATTCAAAACGGCACCTGTTTGTGTGTAAGGGATGCTGAAAGATAATGTGCTTCTACAAAATCATGTACGCGCGCACTTTAAAAAGGTACTGCCTTATTTAAAAAAAATATGTATATGTCTTGTTTATTTACATAGTTTCAATTTGTATTTACATTCAATACTGATTATTTCAATTTCTTTTCTTATTTAGATAATCCGATCATTTGCAACTGCAGTCTACGTTTTATCAACGAGACTTTCACAAGTAAGGTAAAATTTATGGGCAATTGCAAAAATGCACACGACAAGCTTTTGGTTAATCTCCGCCAGAAGTCAAAATATTTTGCGGAAAAATGTAATGATAAGAATGAATTAATAAAAGTTTAGCTATTTTTATCATTTCATTGTATGTGTTACGAACTAGCGTCTCTTTTTAGAATAATATATATAATTGCTAAAAGTACTTTTATAATGAAGGAATGATGAACGGAATAGCCACTATTAAGCGTGGTTTTCGCATCTTCTAAAACTGTTCTCTGTTGCTGCATATGACTGGTACAAAGGAAAACTGGATCTTTACGATCCATTTAACAGTACTGAAGACGTCTGAATTTATTATAGGAAAATGTTTTGTTGATGGCTCTTTACATGAACAACTACATCTTGATTTTTGAAAATGTTTTGAAATATGCTGTATATCGCAGATTTTAAACCGTCACTGCTTTACACAGCAGCCTTCAACAGCTTACTACACTAAAGAAAGCTCCTCATTTTGCATTTGTACGTTGGATTTTATGGTTTCCTAACATCGTTTCAATGTGGAGCCTTCAGTGAATGAAGATTTAACAGATATAAACAGCGCTTCATAATATAAAGTAATGTGCTATGAATATACAAGTATAAATGGCATGTAAAATTGTAAATATGTGTCGAAGATGATATCTTTCTAGATAATGCTTTCGAAAACTCACAATATTTATTTGAATTCTAGTAGTTAATATTTTAATTATAAAGAATTTGAGTAGAATTCATGGAATTTTGACTATGAAAGGTTACAGGTTTTGTCAATTATTATTTATTATGAATTTAATAAGAACTAGAGTTTTTTCTATAATATTTTGTGCAAAAATGATTTTTTGAGTCATATCATTTTTACAAATAATGCACTTCTTAAGATTAAATATCGACATATTTAGAAAAAGTAAAGCAATTTTATTAATATTTTAGGAACAGCTTTATAAGCCCCCCAGAATTTTAATTAAAAATCTGATGTGTACACCACATGACTCCTGTACGAATATAATTATACGCATGTTTCATTAATTCATTTAATTGATTGATTGCATTAAATCACGTCGACAGCGCATAACCACAAAAGAATAATGCACTCTTTAAAATTCACGATCATTGTTTACTAAACGACACTCTGAATGCACCAAGGAGTTAGAATAGAAGAGAGAAGTTAAAACTCAAACGGTGAGCTTGGCGGCCATGTCCTGTTACGCTGTGCCTGTGCAAAGCAGTCCTAATTGCAAATCTTTTTTTTTTTTTTTTTCTTTTCTTTTTAAGCATGCAGCTTGTTTGTATTGGTGTGCAAACAGTTTTCGCAAAAAGTTCCTGGGATTACTTTTCACGCGTAAGTTTTGATTTTCTTGTTTGTTTTTTATGTATTGCATAACTATGGTAAAAATATCAAATTGTCATATGTTTTCTTTCCAGATGTGAACAAAGGACTTAATAAAACAAAATATGTTAAGATATTTTAATGTTCTCTTTATAGCTGGCATTTGTTCTTAACATACATATGTATGCAGGATTAATGTAAATTTGAATGTTCAGGTAATTCGTTTGATAATTTCACGAAAAGTAAGACCCAATGTTACGATTTTATGAATGTAAAAAAGTGTTATAAGTATTGCTTTCTTATGTATTCATATTATTTAAGTTTGTGAATGTTATAAGATAATTTGTGCATTTGATCAAGATTTTTTTTCTAAATTTACAATTGTGGAAGTATAGCGATAAAAGTAATATTTACACAACTGAACATGTGGAAAATGTACCAAATATCGGTAGAGGTATTTTCTGTATTCAGCTATTCAAAAGGCTGATACAGAATACTTTGAGATCATAATATGAAAACGTGCATAAACTGAATAACTAATTACTAAATCGTTGTATTTATTAATATTTAAGTTCTTGTTGTTGTTCGGTTGTTGGTTGTGAAAAGAATCTATTAAAACTTTCATTAAAAAAAAATGCACTGTGTATATTTTGTTAGAGAATTATTGCTATTATTCAGTAAAATTATTTTAAATATCTTTAATAAATTGTAATATTGTGAATAACTTAGAAATATCACTTCTAAAGAAATTGAAAGTACATCCAACAGGTTGCTAATAAAACCTAAACAAATTTTGAATATCAGAACATTATTTTTAAAGGCTTTAATTTATGCCATCATTTAGTTTTCGATATTCTTAATGATTTCTGTACGAATAAATCAGAGGATTTCATATTTAAACTTAAATAAAAAATTACAAGCGAATATTCATTATAACTTTTACATTATTTAGTGGAAAAACATCACGGAACGCTTAAGAACACGTACGTTTCACTGCCGTAATGCAATGTTTGAAGTTACACACATGGACGCCTTGTTCATTCCCGATAGTGGAGGAAACGGCGAACCCTCCCTGCTTTATCTAACCTCATTGGAATGCACAAAATTATATCATTTGAGGAATTATCGTTGCCACATGTTCTATTAAATACTATAATAAAGCTAAACGATGTTGAAGAAATAGCAAACAAAAAGAAAAGAAACAGTTTCACAGACGATTTAGTATTTCTCATTGAATTATTTCATCTCACTTCACGAAAGGCAAAAAATACATAAAACTCAAAAATCTGCATTAAAAATTACGAAGTAAATATGAAACACTTATTTCTCGAAAAAATGACAGAAAGGATTAAGCATGATTTATTCGCAAGATAATGAGGCGTTTTTTTGTGTTGCGAATTTAGTCTCTCTAGATTGGCAACAAATCTACAATTCTGCAGTTTCAATGTAACAAATATGTCGCAATGTATTTAAAATTAACCGCACTTAAACAGATTTTAATGTTGATAATTTACAATATTGTTCAGAATTGCGAAAGGCATAAAAACCTTAACCGAAGATAAAACAAATATTAATCTTTTTTAAGCAAAATATACATTTACAAACAATAAGGGTAGAAACTGAGATCACTGAGCCGGGTACAAGCGGATATTATATAAATAATTTATAGTTTGGTGCGGCCGATTGCAACAAAATACGAGTGACATCTACTATTTTAGCAGTCCTAATACAAAATTCAACATTCTGAGGCTATTGTTGGAGTTATGCGAGAACGTACGTACCAATACATACGTCGTACAGACGCCGAAAAATTCTCTTCAGAATTAATTTAAAGCGTTTTTAATTTTTGGAGGAAAGAGTCTTGTATTCTGTCCTTACGTCAGATATCACGCAAAAAACTCGTTAATTGAATTCGAGCGGTCAAATGGATATTTCTTGAAATATGTAGCCTGAATTTTTCGCGATTACAATACTTCCTTTTCTTCGTACAGGAATAAAATACGCCAAGATGGCGAAAATGATTGATGTGGCAACCCCACACCGGTTTACGAGTTGTGGAGAAACGGTACATTTGGCAAACGCAGGTAAACAACCGTAAAATTTCTGATGTATACAAGGAGGTTAGAATAAAGGAGGGAGGGTTCGCAGTTTCCCCACTACGGGATGAAACTCCGCCGTACAAAGCGGCGTCATGTTTGTGACTTAAAACATTGCTTACGGCAGTGAATGTACGTGTTCTAAGCTGTCCGTGCATTTATTTCCAGTAAAAATATGTTAATTTATAATGAAATCCTCGTATTCTTGAATTTTGTTTTAAAGAATAAAGATGAATCATAATTACTATGTACAGCAATTATAAGAAAAGTTCGAATCTAAATGCATGCGCCAATTAAAGCCTTTAAAAAACGATTTTCTGCAATTTCATTAATTGCTAGGTAGAAAATAAATCTTATAAAATAAAACGATTTATGTGAATCATTGATTCAGTTTATGCGCATACTTTATAATCTCAAAGAAACTGCCGTATTAAGTATTGCAGAAATACACCTATATAAGTTTTGGAACATCTTTCCACATGTTAATTGTGTAAATAGTTTACTTATTTTATCACTAATGCCCAGAAATTTGCGTAGTTAAAAAAAGGGGGAACAAAAAAGTTTTCTTAAAAAAATGAATAAGAATTAATAGAAAGAAAAGCATTGCTTATTTAAACCGGCAAGGAAGAAAAATCGTTTTTTTTTTTTTTATTTTCATGAAATATTAAAAAAATTAACTAAAACGTTCAAATTATACAATTTAATCCTACTATAGAATTGTCTTAAGGAACGAAGATACCAGCTATAACAGAAATTAAATGTATTAATATATTTGATTATAGATAAAGAACCATTTTAAGTCCTTTTTTTTCACATCTGGAAAGAAAACACAGACATTGTGATATTTTGACATAGTGTACCATATTACATAAAAAAGAAATTATAGCTACGGTTTGTAATAATGCCCGGAATTTTTTTAGAGAATCTATTTTGCATTATATGCAAAAGCTGACATGCTTCAAAAAGAAAAAAAAATGTTGCAATGACAGACTTCCTTGACAAGTCCGGGTGATAAAAGAAGATGGCCGCAAGCTACACCGTTTGAGTCGAACCTTCCCTCTTCTATTCTACCTCCTACTTTCTAAAGAGGTGTAATTACTGGTCACAGCTAATATAGTAGTCATACATTGATTCATTCAATACAATCCGAGATATCATTACTTAAAGTAAATGCACGTGGGCCTGTATCTATTTTTCCGGCTAGCTTTCTCTTAAAATTTGTCTCGCGCTGCATGAATAGGGAATACAACATTTTTATTAGAATCACTAAATAACTATTTAAACACAAAATTAGTAACACTATTTCGGCATTGTTAACGCCGATATGTGAGAGAATATGTTTTGGGATAAGATTTTGCATTAGTTATGGATTGCTCTAAACCTACTGTAATGATGTGTAATTAAATCAGGATTTTAAAGAAATTAAGGTGGGTTTTAAAACAAGGTAAAGTTTGGGAACTAGGCATCAAAAGAATTTTATGTATGAAGTTACAGGGAGTATGAACTCTTGAGATTTTTGATGGTTGTGGATATTAAGGAAAAAGTTGTTGTGAAAAATGTATATACATGAAGGGTATTCTTGTATTTGGAAAGTAAGCAAGGTGAGATTTTCCGGCCATGATTTAAAATTACAGCTTTTAACCTTAATCATTTTCATTAATCTTCCTTAATATTTTTCTTTAAA